TGGTCAATTATATGTTATGGTACTGCTGCATGATATGAGGTTGGTGCATGTTGTGGATGGAGAGGAAACCACATCAGAACAAAGTATTGAACTAAAACCCAATTATACCATATATATGGGAATGGAAAGATGACTCAGTTGTTAAGAGCACTAGCTGCTCTTGGAGAGAACATGTGTTCAGTTCCCAGCACCCACATGGTAGCTAACAACCATTCTTAACTCCAGTTCCAGGGATCTGACAGCCTCTTCTGACCTCCACAGGAATTGTACAAAAGGGTGCACTTATATACATGCAGGTAATATGCTCATATACATAAATAAATTTTTTAAAAGTTAATGATAAAAGACTTGCACCATCACTGGACCCCCTGGCCCACCCTCAGGGTTTCCATGTTCATCTCTCTCTGTCTCCCCCAAGTCTGGGCCTGTCATTTTTTCTTTTTATTTTTTTGAGACAGTGCCTTCCTATAGCCCCAGGTAGCGTAGAACTCACTATGTAGACCAGGCTGGGCTTGAGCTCACAGAGATCTGCCTGTCTCCCAAGTGCTAGAACTAAAGGTATGCACCACCATGCCCATCCTGGGCCCGTCATTTAAAAAAAAATGTTTTATTTATTATTATTTTGGGAGGCAGTCAAACCACTTTATTAGCGGCTTGGGGATGAGGAGGGGCAGGCGGGGTCCACACGATCCACTATTTGCAAACGTGGGCAGTAGAGGAAACTGAGGCAGCCGAGGAATAACATCCCTTCACCTCTTCCCAAGCTGGCCCAACCCCCACCCTCAAGAGGCACCTGGGCTGACCTAGCGTCCCTCACCCACAAACTGAACTGTTTTTTCTGAGCCAATTTTGTAGATTCAGAGACCAGCCACGGGACCCAGGCGTTAATGACCAGCCCCTGCCGTAGACTGCCTCACCCACTACCGCCCAGCCACTGGGATTAGAGGTCACTGGTGATTGGATGGTTGAAATTACAACCATATTTATGTGTATGAGTGTGTGCCTGTATGTATGTATGGGCCCCACATGCATGCACTGCCTACAGAGGCTGGAAGAGGCCATTGGATCCCCTAGAACTGGAGTTGCAGACTGTTGTGAGCTGCCCTGTGGGTTCTGGGAACTGAACCCAGATCCTCTGCTAGAGCGGCCACTGTTCTTAACTGCTGAGCCAGCTCTCTGGACCCTGGAATGTATTTCAAGACCCTAAAAATGCCAAAGACTTGCCTGTCAGGGCGGGTGTTCCTTCACGGTGTATGGGGTTTGCTTGGTATTATGGCTTGGATGAGAAATGTCCCCAGTACACTCGTGTGTTTGAACTTGGTCCTCTGCTGGTGGTACTGTTTGGGGAGGTTGCAGAGTCTCCGTAGGCGAGGCCCACCTGGAGGAAGTAGCTCTCTAGAGAGGGGCCTGGAGAGGCATAGCTAGGCTCCACTTCTGTCCTGCCTCTGCTTCTTGGACCACGAGTGGGCCGCCCCGAAGTCCTGCAGCCATGGAGCCATGCCAATCAAGCCTTCTCCAGCGCTGTGGGTTGTATTCCCTCAGACCGTGAGCCTGAACAAGGCTATTGCCCTGGGGTGCTTCTCCAGGGTTACAGACAAGGAAAGTGATGTAAAGCATGCCTTCCACGTTGCAGTCGGCTAGGAAGAAGAACTTGATGGTTTGAACCTGCGTTACAAATACCCTGCATTTTATTGTTGGAAATCTGACTGCTTAGACCAAACCATCTTAGAGCATTATGGCAATTTCCTGGTGCTGCCACAGAGGGTCACAAATTTGTTGCTTATAGAAATACAGGTCTGTTCTCTTACAGCCTGAGAGACCAAAGGTCCAAAGTGAGTGTTGTTCAGGTTACACTCCATCCATCTGAAGGCTCTGTGCGATGGTCCTTCTGGGACCCCCACCTCCACCCCCAGCATCCCTTAGCCTGTGGCCGCATCACTCCAGGCCATCTGGTCATGTAGATGAACCCGGGACATCCAGGGTGGTCTCATCTTGCTGTCCATCATGGCATCTGCAGAGTCTTGTTCTAGCACGTGGTCGTATTCACTGGGGTGTGGCTCAGTGGAGGACAGATGCTTATCCTGTGCCAGGCTGCAGGTTCAATCCCTGGTACCACAGAAACTGTGATAAGGTCATGTTCACATCGACAGGTCAGGCCTAAAGGTACTTCAGCGGATGGTGGGGGCACCAATCAATCCACAAGTATTTATAGCAAGAAACTTGGGGGTGGCTGTGGGCAGGCATTCCGAATGCCCACTGTGGCCTTCCTTGGGTAAAGGGTGGTTTCCTGAGGGCCCAGGTTTGTTTCTTTGGGGTCTTTTTCTTGTAGATCACTTTGATGTGGGCCACATTAAAGGCAAAAAATAAAGTAAGCTAAAGACAGTGAGTTGTTGATGTGAGAGAGGCACCTTAGAGTAATGGAGGACTCAGTGCAGCAGGGCCTGACACCCTCCATTGACCGTCAAGGGTGTGTGGCTGGAGCAAACCTGACCACAGTGCCACCAGAGCCTTGTCCGGGAGGCTTTGGAAGACCATGGTACCTGGGCCATTCGGGCGCTTTCTCACCTGATGGCCACGGGCTCTGTCCCCTCACCAGCCTGCTTCCTCTCTCTGCAGTGGCTATGGCTGTTGGGATCATTATCATGAATCAGACACCCTCCTGCATTCGATCCAAGTCCTGGCAGCCCTCCTGGACTCTCCGATCACCGAGAACATCATCTGTGACGTGGGGATGTAGTGCCTGCATGAGCATGCAGAAGGCGGGGCTCAGAGGAAGGGTGAATTCAAGGCATGCTGCATCCCACACTCCCTCCAGGGCCAGGGAGTCTGTGTGTTGAGAGACGCCAAAGCCTTCGTGTTGAACATGAGTTTTACCAGGCATGGTGGTGCACACCTTGGGTACTAGCACTCAGGAGGCAGAGACAGGTGGATCTCTGTGAGTTCCAGGCCAGCCAGGGCTAATAGTCTTAAAAAAGAAGGTTTTGTTCAAATGTGGCACTACCCCCAGAATAGCACTCAGTGTTTGGATTCTAGAAAGTCCCAGGCACGCATGAGCGCACTCTGCACAAATAGAAGTTAGGTGTGGGCCCAGTCATACAACGTTCATCATGGTGGGTCTTGGGGTGACTCTGCCACTCCTCGGGGACATACCGACCTTGAAGCTCCACCTTGTACATGAACTGGAAGCTTCTAATGTCACAGCAGTCCCCGGAGGATGGTCCTGGCATTGTGACTGTCCCCATCCACCCCACAATGCTTTAAGTCAACCTGGACTTCTCTCTCTCTCTCTCTCTCTCTCTCTCTCTCTCTCTCTTTCTACAAGGGACTGACCCTAGGGCCTTGTACATGCTAGGCAAATACTCTGGGGCTACACCCCAGCCCTCTTTTCTGACTATTTGTTTTTTGAGGCATGGGGTCATATAACTTTTATTTTTTTATTATAATTGTGGGAGCGTGTGCAGGGGTGTGTGCCGGGGTGCATATGTGGAGGGACAGCTTTGTGGAGTCGGCACCCACTTTCTACCTCTATGAACATTCAAAGCTCAGAATCAGGTCAGGCTTACGTGGGCAGCGCCTTACCCACCAAGCCCTCCCTCCAGCCATCACGTCATTACGTTTCTCCAGCTTTTCTCTGTGGACTCGGAATCTGCAATCCCACTTTCACTGCCTTCAGAATCACATCTGAAGATGTTCCTCCTTTGACGTCTAGCATTTTTCTGGGTCTCCTGAACTCCATGGAGCAAACCAAGAGTTACATCTTCATGCCACTGAAGCCTCCCTCTGGGATCATCCTCCTGTGAGGAGGGGACAAGTGGTTTTACCACTGGAGCGGGAACTGGCTCTCGAAACAAAATAAAGACCTTAGCATGGTGGATAATGAGAAAAACATTATTGTAGAAATTAAAATACTTTTATTTTGCTGTTATATATTTTTCCTCATTTATTTATTTTGGGGGTTCTTTTTGTTTTTTTGAGACAAGGTCTCTCTATGTAGCCCTAGCATGCCTAGAACTCACTATATAGACCAGGCTAGCCTTGAACTCACAGAAATCCACCTGCCTCAACCTCCAAAGTGCTGGGATGAAGGTGTGTGCCACCACACCCAGCCTTGCTTTTATTTTTAAAAGTTATTGTTTTATTATATGTTTGTGGATATGTGTGTGTGTCTGTGTGTGTGCAATGCCTATGGAAGCTAGAGGGGACTTCAGATCCCCTGAAACTGGACTTAAAAGCAGTTGTGAACCACCATGTGGGTGTTGAGAACCAAGCTGGGTCCTCTGCAAAAGCAGCCAGAGTTCCTAATTGCTGAGCCATCTCTCCAGCCCTTTATTGCTTTTTTTGCTTATGAAGTTTGGCTGTTTTCCCCCAACTTTATGTGTATGAGTGCCTTGCCTACTTATATCTAAGTGCACCGTGTGCATTCCTGGTGCCTGCAGAGGTCAGAAGAATGTATTGGATCCCCTGGAACTGGAGTTACAGACAGTTGTAAGCCGCCGTGTGGAACCACTGCACGAGCAGCCCGTGCTCTTAACTGCTGAGCCGTCTCTCTGTCTCCAAGTTGGACATTTTCCCTGCTTGGTGGTCAGTTGTACACTGTTTTGAAGTAGCGGGGTGTTCATTGACATCTCTTTGTACCTTATTATTTGGGGAGCTTCACTGTATATAAAAGGCCACAACCTGTTCCCATAGAGAAGAACAATGTCTCCTTGCAGCCTGCTGTTAAACTAGAATTTCCAGTGGTGACATTCTGTCTCATTTTCTGGTAGTTTCTGTTTTTGTTTGACAGGCCTGCTTTAGTTATTTTTGTTTGTTTGGTTTTAATTTTTGTTGGTTTGAGTGGTTTTGTTTTAAATTTTTTCTAATTTTTCATTACATTTGCTTATTTATTTTTGTGTTTGTGTGCACATGTCCCAGTGTGTGTATGTGTGTGGAGGTCAGGGGATAACATTGGGAAGTCAGTTCTTACCTTATACTGTGTGGGTCCCTGGGATCAAACTCAGGCCATCGGGCTTGGTGAAATGTTCCTCAGCATGCTGGGACATCTCACCTGGTTTGGTTAGCCTCCATGTGGGTGCTAGGAACCGAACCCAGGACCTCTTCAAGAGCAGCCAGTGCTCTTAACTACTGGTTTCATTTTTTGAGACAGGGTCTCATGCATCCCAGGCTGGCCTAGAACTCTGTATCCTCTGTAGCTGAGGATGACCTCAAAGTCCCCATCCTCCTTCCTTGATCTCCTGAGTGCTAGGATGACAGGCATGCCCGGATGAGGCCCCCGTTTTGTGTGAGACAGTTCATCTTGAAGAATCTCTACCAGCTTTGAGCTTAGGCACCTGGGAGACAAGCATTTTGGCTTGTTACAAAAAGTAGTTATTTCTGTTTTATGTGTGTGAGTGCTTTGCCCGCATGTATGTAAGGGCACCTGTGTTGTGTGGTGCACATAGAGGCCAGAAGAAGGCATTGGATTCCCAACTAGAGTTACAGATGTTGTTAGCTACCATGTGGGTGCTGGGAAAATCCGGGTCCTCTGTAACAGCAGCCAGTGTTCGTAACCACTGAGCCATCTCTCCAGCCCCTTATCTCGACTCATGTTTTAGTTTGATTTGAAGAGCCTTGGGATTCTCTCCAATGATCCGAGAAGCTTCATATCAGAACTGAGCATCTAGGGACTGGGGAGCCAGCTCCGTGGGTAAAAGACTTGCTGTGCAAGCAACAGGACCTGAGCTTGGGTCCTTAAGACCCACGTGAAAACCAGGTGTGGTGCTATGCATCTGCAGCCCCAGCTCTGGAAGGCAGAAACGGGAGGGTCCCTGGGTTTCGTTCATTTGTTTGTTTTGCTAGCAGCCAATCTAGCTAACACAGAGGACTCCAGCTTCAGTGAGAGACCTGGCTGCAAAGCAAGGTGGAGGGTAATGAGGGAAGACACCTGATGTCAAACTCTGGCCTCTACGTGTGCATACATGGTTGCATACCTGCACACACACACACACCCCCCACACTCTCTCTACACGCGCGCACGTGTGTGCGTCCCTGCACACACACACACACACACACACCCCAACCACTGCCTCTACATGTGCTTGCATGGTTGCGTACCTGCAGACACACACACACACACACACACACACACACACACACACACCAACACACACCAACAACTACCACCACCAAAGAATATGTGGTTCCGTTGAACCACCAGCTTTTGTAACAAGGCAGATACATATCTCTCTCTCCCTCCCTCTTGCAGGCCTGTCATGCACCGGAATGTTCGCTACAACTGCAGAGTCATCTTTCTTAATTGGTAGGTGACCCTGGAGGGTGGCCAGTCTGCCTGTGCCCGGAGCTGAGGGGGGCCGCGTGCTAGAGGCCTCCCCCAGGAGGTGCCTTTAGTGAGCATGACACGACACGGCAATTCCTGTGATCTTCCTCTGACACACAACCCCCCTCCACACCACAGCCACAGTAGGAGGAGGCCTGAGGGTAGGGTTTGGGGACATATCCTTGTCAGCGGGAGGGTGGGCTGGGTTTGGGCTGGAGGATGAACTAGGCGACTAGGTGAGGGAGGTCTCACTGTCTCCAGTCACCAGTGGCCAGCACGGGCACCTGCCGTGCCTCAGACTCCCTCACAGTCAGCTGTCGGGGTGGATGGCGCCAAGGGGACCCCTTTTTTGCAAACAGAAAGCTGAAACCCAGAGGAGAAAGCAGGTTTGCTCAGGGCCCTGGTCTTGAGGTGATCCTGTAGGCTCACCCCATTCTGTGGTGTGTGGCCTGCACAACGGGATGCTTGTCCCCGGAGCCTGAAGTGAGCTGCCCTGTCCCCTGCCACAGGAGGATCCTGCTCATCAGGCCCAAGATGGCTTTGGCCAACGAAGGCAACTACCGGGAACTGCGATGGTTCACCCCCTGGTCCAGGAGCCGGTGAGTGGCAGGTGCTCGGTCACAGTGCAGCCCGTGACCCGGCACTGGGTGTTTAGTAAATGTCTTCATGGCACAGCCTCGGCTGAGAGGAGAGCCACAGGGCGTGGAGGGTCTGTCCCTGCCACTCAGCCATGGCTGCTTCCCGGCTGCCTCGGCACTGATCACCCATCATCAGATCTCAGTCATCAGTCAGTAAAGTCATCGGTCACTCTAGGTGGAGGGACGCTGCATCGCAAATAGTCCTGTGTTCTTTGTTTGAGGGGCTGTGCAGTGTACGTTGACCCAAGGCATCCATGGCCTCTAGGTAGAGTTCGTTAACCAGAATTAACGAACGCCAGGTAGGGCGACTCACACTGTCACTGCAGCACTTGGGAGGTGGAGGCAAAAGAATCAGGAATTTAAGGTCATCCTCGGCTACATAGTAAGTTCTAGGCCAACCTGGGTTACAAAACAAAACAGACATAAAAATGAAACAAAACCCTGCTGTGGTGGCACACACCTTTAATCCCAGCACTTGGGAGGTCGAAGCAGGTGGATCTCTATGAGTTGGAGGCTAGCCTGGTCTACATAGTGAGTTCCAGGCCAGCCAGGGCTACATGGTGAGACCCTGACTCAAAATAAATGAATACATAATTAGATAAATAAAATAACTCCAGACATTACCAAGTGTTTCCCAGGGGGCAAAGCTGCCCCAGTCTGGGAAACCCCCACTCTGTTTCAGCGGTGTTTGTACATGCCTGTTGCTGTTGTCATGGGGCCTTTAACACTGTACATTGAGGTTAACCGTTGACATGGGAAAACTTTTGGGTTCTCCGTGTTGCTCCTATGTCAGACAGCTTTAGTAAATTCTCCGGTCTCGTGTTACTGTGTTGGTTTTCTTTGTTTGTCCTGCCGAATGTCATGATGGGACCTGACTTCTCTCAGCTCGTCTTTACTTTTATTGGCCAGCATTTCTACACTAATGTTCTAGATCCTTCCGAGAGCAGAGGTCTTGGATAATGACCATTTTGCCTTTCTCCTGACTAATCAAAAAGCTCTGAGTTGCTCCATTTGGCATCAGATTTATGTCTTACCACTCTTTATTTTTTCTTTTTTTAAAAGACTTATTTTTGGGCCGGGGGTGATGGTGCAAGCCTTTAATGCCAGTACTCGGGAGGCAGAGGCAGGCAGATCTCTGTGAGTTCAAGGCCAGCCTGGTCTACATAGTGAGTTTCAGGACAGCTGGGTCTACAGGGAGACCCTGTCTCAAAAAGACCTATTTTTGTTATTTTAAATTGTGTGTGTGTATGTGCGTGTGTGTTCACATGACTACAGGTGCCCTTTAGAGGCCAGAAGAGGCACCAGATCCCCTAAAACTGGAGTTACAGGCAGTTGTGAGCTGCCCACCGTGGGTGCTGGGAACCAAATTCAGGTCCTACAGGAGCAGTGCACACTCTTAACCACCGAGCCAGCTCTCTAGTCCCATTAGTTATTTTTACTGTGAGGTTTTTTGTTTTGGTTTTGGGGTTTTTTTTGTTGTTGTTTGATTTTTGGTCTTTGTTGAGACAGGGTCTCCCTGTAGCCCCAGCTGGCCTGGAACTCACTATGTAGACCAGGCTGGCTTCAATCTCACAGAGATCCGCCTGCCTCTGCCTCCTGAGTGCTGGAATTAAAGGCACTCACTACCATGCCTGGCCTTTACTGTGAGTTTTTAAAATTGAGAATGAATGTTTAATTCGAGTGCCTTTTCACATATGTCAAGATGAATAGAGAGAGCAAATCTTTGTACCTACCTTAAGTCCCAAGCAGATGTAGGATATTACACTTGGATTCATTAATGTTTGTTCAGAACTTTGATCTCTTCTGGAATTTGATGCCAGCATTATGCTAGGATTTATTATCATTGCTATTGCTATTATTATTTTCTGTTTTGGCTTGGTTTAATATTGTGGAGGGTTTTTTTCTATATGCCCTGGGTGTGTTCTGATAGTACTTGTGTGTATCAATTATAAGATGATTAAGGTATAAGAATGGTACGTCAATACTGAACATTTGTAAATTACATTAAATGATAGAATTCATGGTTGCTGGCTGTCCTGTGGGACGTTATAAGCCCTGGTATGGGCACTACCTACGGAAATGTCATTTCCAGGGGCTGGAGAAGTGGATCAGCAGTTAAGAACCTTTCCTGCTCTTACAGAGGATCTGAGTCGGGTTCCCAGCACCCAGCTCAGAACCAGGAGAACTGAGGAGCATCTCGTTCTCATTCCCTGCTTTACCGAGGGAGGGAGAGGAAGCTTTGTCCGCTAAACTCCTCAACTTCTAGCATGTTGCTTAAGTGAAAGAGCCACTGGCACTGTGCCTGCAGGCTCCTGTGAATTCTAAGAAAGCAGAACAGAAATAGCACTCATTAAATGTCTAAGTCTCTCACCTTGGTACAGCTTGTTTAAAGACATTAGCTTTTAATGTTTTTACAACGAAGCCACTGGAGTAGATCTTTGGGGTTTCCCATACCAGAACTGTGTGGCTAGCACTCCACCTGTCCAGCAAGCTGTGGACTGTGACTATTGTCTTGCTGATGATGTAGGTGTGGATGTGTCTGTGGGATGAATGCCTAGATTGTTCTAGGTTAGGAATCCCACCTAATTTCTCTCTGGGAACTGTGACCTTCTCCCACTAACCCCCACCCAGATCTCTCAGAAAACACCAGGAAGCAGAGGGCTCCAATATGCACGAGCACACTCTTTGTGTGGATGGGCAGCTGGCCTCTGGGGAGAGCAGTCAGGAGCTGGGCATTGTGTCAGCCTGAGGGCGGGCACCTGCTTCCTGGTTCCCGGGGCCTCATCTTAGCTCTGCTATGCTTTGTTTCTTCCCTACCAGGCAAACAGAAGAGTACTTCCTCCCACAGATGTTACAAGACCTGACAAAGCAGGTACGCCTTTCCCAGTCCCTCATTGCCAGTCCAGGCTGAGGGTGGGCCAAGGAGAACAGAACCCTTGGGTTAAGTCACTGAACAATGCGTTGCTGTGTAGATAGGAAGCACAAAGGGGACATCCATGGCAAGTGAAGGAGGACCAGCTCAGGCCAGTACATTGACACTGACAGGGGTGGCCCAGGTGACATTTGGGAAGGAGACTCAGCGTGGTGTGGTCCCCTCCCAAGGGATAGAGATTCTTGTGACAGGAAGCCCCAATGGCTGGCTGACATCTAACCGTCACAACCCAGGGATTGGGTATGCGTGAGTGACACATTCACGGTACCCCCTGCCTGGGCTGTGCTGGTTCCATTCTGAGCAGAGTGGGCTATAGGCTATCATTGGGAGGTCCTGCTCAGCCTGGCCGATTGGAGACCAGGCTGCAGGAGTCGGCCCTGGGCAGAAATAGACTTGGATTCAGGAACAGACAGTTTTACAAAATAGACGGTCTAGTCCTGCTCCAGCCCGGACAGCGCACCGGTGGTGACATGCCTCCAAGCTTCATGCTTCCTGTTGTTCGGCAGACCTGGAGTTCAGGCTCTGACATTGTTGGTGGCTGATGGAGCAGAGGAAAGGGCATGGGCTTGTCCTGTCATCCTACCGTTGGTGATAGAGTTGAGTTCCTGCGTGTTGGGGAACCCCCTCTGAGAGCCTCGGGCTGTGCTCTGGGCCCCTGTGATGACCTGACTCAGCAAACATTATGCTGTTGGCCTCAAGAGATGGTGCAGAAAACAGAACAGCTGTTTTCTCCCAGGTTGAACACGTCCGAGGCCATGTAGAATCACGGTTCCTGTGATCACCCACCCAAGTCCCCAGGAGACTGGGCCTATGAACAGACCTGTGTGGAAGGGGCAGAGGTTCCCAGGCCAATCAGGCTCCCAAGCCATCTCAGGATCCCCATGGAACCCCTCTGTTCCTAAGGTTACATAAGAACAAAGCAGTTGACTGGCGTAGGACTCCGTTCCTAAGGTTACATAAGAACAAAGCAGTTGGCTGGTGTAGGACTCCGTTCCTAAGGTTACATAAGAACAAAGCAGTTGACTGGCGTAGGACTCCGTTCCTAAGGTTACATAAGAACAAAGCAGTTGACTGGCGTAGGACTCCGTTCCTAAGGTTACATAAGAACAAAGCAGTTGACTGGCGTAGGACTCCGTTCCTAAGGTTACATAAGAACAAAGCAGTTGACTGGCGTAGGACTCCGTTCCTAAGGTTACATAAGAACAAAGCAGTTGGCTGGTGTAGGACTCCGTTCCTAAGGTTACATAAGAACAAAGCAGTTGGCTGGCATAGGACTCCGGCAGAGCCCGTGCGCTGCCCAAGGGGTCCTTCAGTGGTGCGGATTTTCTTGGGTCATCCGTTCCACGGTGTGACTCTTCGATGCTGTCAGTGCCCCTAGAACATCCTGGAAGTGTATCTTTCTTTAAGTCCGCCGTGCTTCTGTTAGCAACCCCAGTAAACTTACTGTCTCACCCAGCTGGGCTTGGAGGGAACCCTCCTTTGGTCTGTCTCTATGTGGAGTGCACAGACTTTTTATGTCTCCCCAGGAAGTCCAGCAGCAAGTGACCATGGTGGACTTGATCCAGCCCATGTTAGAGGTGTCATGTGTTTTAAGGAGACTGAACTGTCCTCTGAGATTGCTCATCATTAATTTCACTAACACAGCTAATGTGTCACACACCTTAGTTTCAGTGACTTGATGGAACAGGGTGGCATCTACAGAGGGAGACTCTGTCCCTGCCTGGAACCCGTTATATAGACCAGACTAGCCTTGAATTCACAGAGCTCTACCTGTCTGTGCCTCCCAAGTTCTAGAATGAAAGGTGTGTGCTACCTCTCCCCACTACTCTGCGCCCTGGTCCTGGCAGCTGGGAGCCACATAATGCCCACCACTCAGTTCATTTCTGCACTGCGGATGAGAACACTACCTGGTGTGACTGTCTAGGGGGCAGAGAAGTACTGGGTGCTGCACGTTGTGTAGACCAGCGCTTGATAAACAGACGTAATGAGAGATGAAGACGGCGGCTTGTGCCCCTGGAAACTTAAAGAACATGTTGTAGCCATAGTGAGCTGTGGTCATGAATGGGAAGATAGGAGAGCATTGGGGATCAACAGCAGTGGGCTGGGCATGTTCCTGGTTGAGAAAGGACCCACGGGAGACTTGTAACAATATGGCAGCTCTCATGGATGTCTCCTGATGTCTGGGGAGGCCAGTGCAGAGCCCCACGGGCAGCCCGTGAGTCTTGGGTGTTCTTTTCTTTCCACTGCAGAAAACTGTGCCCTTTGGAGATGCGGTGCTGGCCACCCAGGACACCTGCATTGGGAGCGAGGTCTGTGAGGAGCTCTGGACACCACACAGGTCAGCAGGCTACCTGTGCCATCCCATCCCTGTGTTCTACCTGGGCCAGTGGGAAGACCCCGACTTTGAAACCTCCTGGGGTCATAGTCTGAGTCATGGAGATCCTCTGGGTTGGCTCAGGGGCCACAGGAGTCCATGTGTCCCTCTACCTGCCTCTGCCCACAGCCCCCACATCGACATGGGCCTGGACGGTGTGGAGATCATCACCAATGCCTCGGGCAGCCACCATGTGCTGCGTAAAGCCCACGCCAGGGTGGATCTGGTAACCATGGCCACCACCAAGGTGGGCACTGGGTAGGGTGGCTGGAGCAGGGTCACAGGACTCAATCAGGAACCCTGGAGCAGGGCTGGGCCACCCATAGTGCATAAACTGTATTCCAGAGTCATACCCCGCCTCTCCCAGGCCTTATTACTGTCTAGAGGGCTTGATTGGGTTCATTTCCTTATCCAATTAAAAAATTTAAAGACAGGAAGAATCTCAGATATAACAGGCAACAAGCTTTATTAAAAGTAAAGACATATACTCACACAGAAAGGATCCCCACAAGTTGAGATGGGGTTCAGAAACTGAAATCCAAAGCCTCTAGGGCGCCTGGGTCTTTTAACTGTTCTTGCTGGTGTAAGGCAGGTCTCTCTCCCCTAATTTTGAATCGGTCAACTTAAACAAAGAAGCTGATAGGCCACAGCTCCAAGCTGAGATATGTCCACAACTGGTCTTGATCTTAACTAAACCGGTCTGGACCCATCAGCCAGAGGGGGCCTTGCCAGGGGGAGAAAAAGCCTGCCAGGTCTTTGTCTTGATGAAGAATCTGGATGGCCACCCTCGTTTATCAGTGGCCCTAACAGCCACCCCGATAAGCAGGCTTGTTGACACTTGTGCTGACGGGGAACCAGGATGTACCTTGTCCGTGGCTGTCAGGGGGACGCACGGGAACTTGCACTTGCCACTTGCTGGCCATGTGGACACAGTGGAATGAGCTGCATGTCCTTCTTGGAGCAGGAAGACTGCCCCAGGTTAGGAAAGGACACGGTGGGGTCTGGAACAATGTCCGGCCTTCACAGACCTCTTGTGTGCCACTGGTGCTTCTGGTGGCCTGGAACTCTGTGCCACTCCATCCAGAACTCTGGCTGCTGTGACCCCAGTTCTGCCTGTAGGGATGATGGCACTGCGCCGAGGGCTGTAGGGAAGGAAAAGTGATGTTCTCTGACACCTGGCATCATGGGAGACGTGAACAAACGTCAACTCACCCCAGATAGGGAACCAATGACAGACCAAAGTCAGGCTGCCACCAAAGCTGAACTTGATGAACCAATGAGTTTATTGGGGTTACTTACAGGAGTATATGTGAGGGGTTACTTACAGGAGCAGAAATGACTCCAAGTCAGCTTCATCACCAAAACCCACCCCAGCATGAGTGACAGGTCAGGAAAGCTGGAAACTGGAGCTGTTGTACAACCTGCAGGCAGTTCTTTGGGCTTATATACACTTGAGGCCCTGTGCATATGTCAGTTTCAGGGACTTCCTGGGGATTTTGAGTTGCTTACTTTCTGAGTCTCAAGGAGCTTCCCCTTGGAACTTCCTGGGTCTTAAGGAATGTCCCTCCAGGATGGAACCTTTCAACTCAAGAAATTGCTCTACAAGACCTTTCAAAGGCTTGTAAATCCTAGCATGGGGCTTTGAGACCCATGTCTGTCGGAGCTGGAAGCCAATGACAACGTTCTGGGACCATGTGGGGAATGGCGGTCTGTGTTCTGAACTGGGGCTGCTGGTAGGCGGGGGTGACCCATGCACCAGCACCGACAACCCCACCATCACCCATGCCTCTTTCAGAATGGTGGCATCTACCTGCTGGCCAACCAGAAGGGCTGCGACGGTGACCGCCTCTACTACGACGGCTGTGCCATGATCTCCATGAACGGCAACGTCTTCGCCCAGGGCACACAGTTCTCGCTGGATGACGTGGTAATGAGCTGAGGACCAGGATTGGGAGTGACCTTGCTTCCCAAGGTCCCAGGGATTGAACTCAGGTTGTTGGGCTTGGCAGCGAGACCTTTACCCTCTGAGCCGTCTTGCTGGCCCCGTATTGGATAATTTTCTTTCTTTCTTTTTTTGTCTTTTTGAGACAGGGTCTCCCTGTAGCCCCAGCTGTCCTGGAACTCACTATGTAGACCAGGCTGGCCTTGAACTCACAGAGATCCGCCTGCCTCTGCCTCCCGAGTGCTGGGACTACAGGCGTGCGCCACCACGCCTGGCTGATAGTTTTCTTTTTAAGTATTTTCTTGCTGTGATCAAACACCTGACAAGGAGCGCTTTGGGAGAAAAAGAGTTTATTCTAGCTCACAGTTCCACACAGCCTGCCGTGGTGGGGAGGGCGTGGCAGCAGAGGGCATGGTGTCTGGCCACATCAAGTCCACAGTTAGGAAGCAGGAGAGCCGACAGGAAGTGGGGCCAGGGTGTAAAACCTCAAGGCTCATCCCCACTGGCCCATTTCCTCCATCAAGGCTCCACTTCCAAAAGGTTCCACAGTGTCCCAAAATAGCACCACATGCTTGGGAGTCTGCTGAGGTAGCCGCAGCCTGAGGCTGTGTGCTGGGTGTTGAACTTGGGTCCTCTGGAAGAACAGCACCTGTTCTTTCCCCCAGCCACCTCTCCAGCCCCAGAAAATAACATCTTTTAAGAGCAAAGCAGAGTTCAGGTTGGCGGAGACGCTGGGCCCCTCTCCCTGGACCCCTGGGGGCGGCAGGTGCTCAGCCCTGGCGTAGATGTGACCAGCTCACGTGAACAACAGTTGTATTACATGTGGGAATGGTGACTGTCTCTCCTTTCCACACCCAGGAGGTCCTGACTGCCACCCTGGACCTAGAAGATGTCCGGAGCTACAGAGCAGAGATTTCCTCTCGGAACCTGGCGGTAAGTGTTCCAAGGGCTTGGCCGAGGTCGCTTGGAGACACTGGGGGATGTGGGGGAGGGTGTCTCAGAGAGGATCCAGCTCCTCCATCCTCTGTGACACGTGCTAGAGCCTGACCAAGGCCTGAGACATGAACCACCGTGTGAGGCAGAGGCTGCAGGTCGCAAGGTTGCAAGGCTCCCTAGGGAGACCAGGCACCGAGTCAGAGTGGCCGCCGGGGCAAATGGCACCAGCAGGCAACATGTGGCTGAGGCTGCCCCCTTGCAGGACCTGACAGCCTGAGGTGGTGCATCAGAGACGCCCAAGTGTGGGCAGAGTCTCCGTCCTGCCCCTTGGACCCAGGACCTAGAACTCCACACTCACAGGCCCTGTTGACTGTGAACGCTGACCCACCATCTTAGACCATCTTCCTAGTAGCTTTATTGAACTGGAACCCCAGTCTCACTGGGGTAGCCATGTCAACCCGGCCGCTGGTTTCTAGAATATTCATAGAGTTATATAACCACCAACACCATTAGTGTGGTGTGATCTCAGAGCCCCAAACAGAGGCTGCATCCCTAAGCACCACCCTGTAGCCTTCCCCGGGACCCTGGCTGCTTCTGTCTGCTTCCTGCCTGTAAGGGCATTTTCAGAAGTGGGCTCCCCTCATGGAGTGTGGTTTCCTTAGGGGCCACCGTGTGGAAGCATGACAAAGCTCTGCCTTTTGGGGGGTCCGGGCAGTGCTCCACCAAGCGGCTGTGCCACCCTGTGCCAACACTGCCCCTTTCTCCTGGGTGTCTGTTCAGGAGTGGGACCTCTGGCTTATATGGTGCCGCTTGTGTTCAGGCTTTTTAGGAGCTGTCAGACTGCTCCTCTGAGTGGCCACTCCCCTGCCCATGCCCACAGTGGGGGAAGGCGCATAGCTTCTGTGCCTGCACCAGCACCGGTTGGCACCGTCAACTTTAACCATCTCATTTTCCCAATGGCTTGGCATCCCCACTGACTGACTTGGTCCCGTTCCTTGGTATGGTCAGCACCTATGCACAGAGTTCATCTGTCCATGTCCTGATGTCCCCTGACAGGCCAGCAGGGTGAGCCCGTACCCCCGGGTGAAAGTAGACTTTGCCCTTTCCCACTGCGACTTGCTGGAGCCTGTATCAGAGCCTGTGACGTGGACGTACCATAGTCCAGAGGAGGAGATAAGGTCAGTGTGGGACCCAGCTCCTCGAGGCCACGGCCGTTCCAGTGGCTGCGGTGATTTGACCTGCGGTGTGGGAAGCAGGGGCTTCCAGGGTCTGCCAGGGTGGACTCTGTGCCTCGTTGGTATTAAAGACGTGACAAGCAGGCTGCCTGGTTCTGCCCAGGGCCATTTCCCTGCAGAGGGGCCATCTTGGGCCTCACCAGGGGCCAGACCCACCCCAGGCTTGTTTCAGAGTGGAGACGCCAGTTAGAACAAAGTACTTACAGGAGAGATGTGTGCAGGGGCGGGGGGATGCCTGGAAGAAAGTAGGTGTCTCTGCGCTGCCTCTTCCCGGGACCCTGTGAAGGATAACTGCACACATGTGGGGGGTCTGCATGTGGGTCTGAGTATGTGTGTGTGTCTGTATGTCTGTGTATGTGTATCTGTATGTGTATGTTTGTTTATGTGTGTATGTGTGTATATATGTATGTGTACCTATGTGTGCATGTATGTATGTGTGTCTATGCATGTATATGTGTGTGTGTATGTGTCTAGGTATATATATATATGTGTGTGTGTGTCTGTGTATGCGTATCTGTGTGCATGTATGTATGTGTTTATGTGTATCTATGTCTGTGTGTGTATATGTGTGTGTGTGTCTATGTCTCTGTGTATGTACATGTGTGTATGTGTGTCGATGTCTCTGTGTGTGTACGTGTGTATGTGTCTATGTCTCTGTGTGTGTACGTGTGTGTCTATGTCTGTGCGTGTGTACTCCTGCGAGTGTGTGACAGGCTCAAGCTGGACTCTGCTCTTTCCCCTGCAGTCTTGGGCCCGCCTGCTGGCTCTGGGACTTCTTACGACGCAGTGGGCAGGTAGGACGTCCCCTTCCTAGCCTGCTCCCTACATGTTCCTCTGGTTGGCATGTGTGGGTCTAACACCAGATGGCACCTTTTTCCTTTTGGGGAGTGCATCTGAGCTGGCCGGAGGCCAGATGGGCATGGCCTGCTCTGCCTCCCATAGGACTCTGTAGCTGTCTAGGTCAGGTGGAGCTCTGGGCTCACACCTCTGTTAGTCTGCTGATCCTAGAGGTAGAGAGGCG